GAGTTCAAGGCCAGTCTAAACTACATGAGACCTTGTCTCAAAAACAAAACAAAATAAAACAAAACAAGTAAACAAATTCCAAAAAAACCAATCAACAAAGAATGATGCTTTTAAACTTCGGAGACAAAGAATAATCCATTTGCTTTTTTGGAGTGAGGGGTATTGCTAGGGATTAAACCCAAGGTCTTATTCTGCTCTACAACTGAGCTACGTGCCTCACCCCAGAGCCATGCCTTTGTGAAGGAATGGCAGGCCAGGGGATATCTGGACTAGAGTCATAAATTCTAGGCTTACAATGAAGTAAGTGGGGGGAGGGATAGAAACCAGTGGGAGATAAGAGTTTCTTCAGAGTTTGTTTATTCAGGTTCCTGATGCAGCCCTGATTACAGGGCTGAGGTATGTGAAGGCAATCCCTCTTAGAAGAATCTTTATGCCTTGCTGCATATGGGAAAACACGAACCAAAATATCCTTTCTGCAGTTACAGCACTTCAAGTGATGCCAACCTTAAATAACTACTGCACCAATTTGGCATATTTTGCCATATTTCCTTTATATTCCTAGCCCTGAAAGACACACCCAAATAAGAAGGCCACCATTTTACTACTGTCCTCTTGGATGGGACTAGCCACTGTCCACTGGCTGCTATGCATCCTTTTTGTCAGCCCCCAAGTTATCGGATCTAATCTGGTGGAAGACAACTGAGTTCTCACCTATCCTAGTTCCAGGAATATGTGCTAACCCTAGGAAGGAACTAGACCAGAGGGCCCTTCCATTCTCTTCTCGAGCTATGGCTACATGCAGACCCAGGCACTGGTGCTCCTACCAACCAACAACTCCCACCTCCATATGTGTGTACTCCTCATAGGCTTCCTGCGCAGGGCACAGCATGGGCTTGTCCTTTCCTGCCCCCATCCCAGGCAGGGCCCAGGGCCCACTTCCCTGCCCTCCCTCACCTCTGTGTGCCGGACGGTCTCCTCCAGCTCACAGATCTGGGTCTGTACCATGTCCTGGTTTCCCAGGATGTATGTCAAGCTCTTTGTCAGCTTGTCCTGAGGGGGAAGAAAGCAGTGGGGATCATGCTTGGCTTTGCAGATGCCAGCATCCGGAGAAGGCGCATGAGGTGTAAGTGTGAGCTGGTGCTGGGGCTGAAGAGGAGGGTCCTCACCTTGAGTGCCTGGTAGGCGCTGAGCACTGGTGTGATCTTGTGCCCGCTGTGGGTGCGCCGCACCCGGCAGAGTTGGCACACGAGCCGTTGACATGTTTTGCAGTAGTGAGTCACCTCTTCCTTGTGGTCTGGGCACATCAGGCCCTAGCGACACAAAGCACAGTGAGATAGCTAGAGTCCTGACCTACCCCCCAGGACCAGTTTGGTGCCCTCCCTCCAAGTTTCAGTTTCCAGCCAAAAGATCAGCTGTGAGGCTCTACAGTGTCACCCAGTGGTACACATTGGTATCAAATTCTTCCCTTCATCCTCCAGACAATGCCCATTTCACCAGCATTGCTTCTCCTTCCATCTACCTTGCAGGAATGTGTGGTAATAACAGTAAGGATGATAATTAATCTAAGTTCTGTGGTTCATAATTAACTTTGTCCATCTTGTTTACTGCTGTGCTCGCACCATGTAGGAAAGGACTGTGCTTATAGATGCTCAGCAACTGTTCATTGAGTAAAGACATACAAACCTTTTTAGTGCATAGATAAGACTTTTTAGGGAACAAATATTATCTCTTGCAATCCTATCAACAATCCTGCAGATATGCAGGTACTATTATCCCTGTGCAGGGAGGCTGAGAAATGTAAAATGATTTTCCCAGTGACTTTGTTACAAAGAAAGGAGCTTGGCAGTACCAACCCCTGCCTACTTCCTTTTGGAAGTCCACAGTGCCAGACATCCCCACAGACCTGGCACCAACATGCCCCTCCCTCCCAAGGCCCTGTAAGGGCTGGCTCACCTTGGGGCGGAAGGAGAGGGTGGGCAAAGTGGGCTCATGCTGGGCCTTCTGGGTGCCCCAGGGGTGGAAAAGCTTGAAGCACTCGTTGCAGAAGGTGGCACGACACTCTGTGCAGCCCTTGGTGGCCTCTAGTGGTGGGGGCTTGCATAACTGGCACAGGATGGCACCTCCCACGCTCACACTCTGGCGGTACCGTTCCACCACACGCTCTAGGGTCAGGTTCCGGAAAAGCCCTGCCAGGCCCCTCTCCCCCAGCTCCACGTCACCCTGGCAGGCTGGGCAGGGAAACATGATCACCTGGGGATGCAACGCCCCTCGCTTCCGCCCAGGGTACGTTCCAAAGCCTGTGGATGGACCCGGGAGGTAGAGGAAATGAGTTACAGCTGGCTGGAGATGGTGAATTTTTCAACTGAAAAATTAGATTTTTACTGGGCCAGAGCTCAGCTCTCATTACAGCCCAGCTAAGTATTGCTTTCCCCAGAAAGACATGTAAATGTGTCTGACCAGAGACGGACCTTTTCAATCTTTGTGATGGACAGCCCTGCATTCCCACCCTGCCCCAACAGCCCCAGCCCCACCTGATTTAAGCAGTCGGTCCAAGCGATCTGGTTTGGGGAGCGTTCTGCGGGAGAGGCGGGGGCTGCGGGTGGAAGGGGTAGAGGCAGGAGAGGTGGGCTCGGAGCTGGGGTCCCCACCATGGCCTATGTAGCCCTGTTGGCCCAGTACCTCCCGGGCACAGGCCTGGCACACATTGTGGGTACAGGGCAGCACCAGTGGCTGCTTGTACATCTCTTGACACACTGGACACAGCAGTTCCTTCTCCATATTCTTCATGCTCGTCTGTGGAGGGAGCAGGAGGCTGAGTCAGAGCTGGGACACCTGGGCAATCTCGACAGGTCCCTCAGCTGCCTCTAAAGACCCCAGGGATCCCAGGAAGGGGCAAATCAAGTTACCTATGCCTTTGGCCAGGTACCTTCTTTGGCCTGGTACATATGCCTTTGGCCAGGTACCTTCTTTGGCCTGGTACATACACCTGCCCCCGCTCTCTGTCTTTTGCTCCCAGTTCTCTAAGCGTTTATAGGTCTACAAGAAGGGATGGTTGGAGCTCCAACCTCCCCTAGCTTTAAGCCCCTCCCCCACCAGGCTGCAGCGGCGATGGGCAGCCCCCCTCACCTGTCTCCATCCCTCAGTGTCTGGGCCGCGGGCCTCTGGCTTTGGTCTCAAGGACACCGTCCGCTCTGAGTTCCAAGCAGGACCTCAGCCCCTTCTCTCGTACTCCCTACAAACGTGCCTCTTTCCAAAGCCCAGCGCCGCTGGCTCTTCAGCCTCCTGCCGCGGCTCAGGCCTGCGGCTGCCTCAGCCTCCATCCTCCATCCGTCACGTCCCATCCATCTCCTTCAGTACCTGGTTCCAACCCATTCCCTTTTGCGCTACCCTCTGGCCTTCCAGCCCCTTCTTCCAGAGCAAACTGGGTGGTGGTGGTAGAACACGAGACCCGCCTTCTTGCCCCCTCCCCACCGGAAGTAACCCTCCCCTCTTTGGTGGCGGGGGTCCTCAGGCTACGCCCCACCCCCACACCTCACCTTGGTCCCTCTTTTTGCAGCCATCCCGGTCAGGGGCGCAGCTGACACAAAGGAGGGAGGAACAGGGAGGGAGGGAGAAGGAAGTGGTGGTGGGGAGCAGGTTTGGCACCGCCCCTGGGAGAGCCGGGTACGGGTTGCCATGACAACCTCAGGCTCGGAAGCAGCCCTGAGTGGGGGTGCGGTGGGGTGGGGTCTTTAGAAGGGGAAACTGGACCCTGGGGCGGCTCCTTCATCGTCCCCTACCTGTCCTCGGTTTTCCTGGAAAATATCCAAGCGCACACATGCCCCCTTCTCCTGTCATAGCTCCTTTCCCCTGAAGCCCGTTCCGGGGGCACTGCTGGCAGCTCCCGCAGCCCACCGGCTTGCCCAGGCAGCTCCTCGCAGCTCACATCCAGCCAGCGAGCGCGTCGCGGCATTCGCCACCCCCTTCTCTAGGGCTATCCTCTCATCCTTGCAGCCCGACCCTCGCAGAGGCTTCTGGCGTCACTAGCCATCACAGTTTACATCCCAGCATCTTCCTCAGCCCTACCTGTTCAAGGTTCCGGCTTGCCCGGGATCCCTTGTGCCCCCCCTTCCCTGTACCCCATCTTAACTCACACTGATGCGGACTAGTGCATCCATGATGGAAGTGAAGGTCTGCATATCCTCACCCTCAGCCATGGCCCTACCGTGCCCGCCCGCCCCCGAGTGCCCGGGTGCCCGGGTGCTCGATCCCGGCTGCGGCTGCGAACCCTGGGCTCAAAGCAGGAGCCGGGTGGGGGTGTGGGGAGGTGGGTGAGCTGTTACTGCGCATGCTCAGGGGACCAGCCTTGATCAGCGTCTGTCGGGGTAGGGGGTGGGAAATAGTTCTCCCCACGTGGTTCTAGAAGAGCTGTGGTGGTGGGGGTTGGGGGGTAGGTTGGGTAACATGAAATGGTATTTGAGGGGGCAGCAGTTTCTTATATTGGAGTTCTTCATTGGCACCCAAATCTTTTTTTCTGCCTTACTGTATTTTTTCAAATCCATTTTATTCAAGGATAAAAAGAGAAGAGAAGAAGAAGAAGAAGAAGAAGAAGAAGAAGAAGAAGAAGAAGAAGAAAACGTCAAAACATGTCAATTATGGCTCCCAAATCTTAACTGTATAAAAGCGAGGGCTAGTTATAGGGGAGGATGAGCTTCAGGTGGGGAGTGCTACCTTTTGGGGTTGGGCAAAAGTCCACAGGAGTCGTTAGAGCAACGAGCATGGGACAGGGAAGTTTGAGGAACGTGCACTATAGGATGGCATAACTGAATGCAGGAAAAGACAGAACTGGGCTCGAGGCGATATGCTACGGGCCCAGGGACTTGACAGAAAGGCAGATGTACCGAGAGCTGGCGGATGCCCTGGGTAAGCAAAGGCTAGGGACCCGGGCGGTGGCCGAGGGATGCTCTTCTACGCATTACCTCCTCCGTGCCAGGAGAGGGCGCTGCAGCAAGAGTCCAAGAGGCTGAAAGAGGAAGAGGCAGAGTGCAGCGGTCCGCGCTGGGCGCTGACGCACGCGCACAGCGACCCGCGCCGGGTTCGACTCCCCTTTCTTGGCCGGAGCCCCTGACTGGAGCCGCTGACTGAAGCCCGCTGACTGGAACGACTGGCGGGGCATGATGGGTAACGGGACCCGCTGGACCCCTGGACTGGGCCGGCTGGGGTGGAAGTGGGGGCGGGCCAGCTTTCCCGGTTCTCCCAGCAAAGCTGACGTGTCCTGGGCTTTAGGGAGTAGGCATTTCTATGGGACGGGAGAAAGCAGGGTGTCTGGGACTGGGTTTTGCCGGGGTGCCCGCGGGCTGTGGGGAGCTAGGCTGTGGCTGCGGACCTAGGAACTTGGAACCAGCCGAGCTCCGGGATTGGCTAGATCGGCCTGGCCTGGGAGGCCCGCCCCGGCTGACTCCAACCCTTATGGCTGCCAGTGGTAGGCACTGGCACCTCGCTGGCGCTGTCCTCCCTCCTGTCTCTGCTGCTCTTCGCCGGGATGCAGATATATAGCCGCCAACTGGCCTCCACCGAGTGGCTCACCATCCAGGGCGGCCTGCTGGGCTCCGGCCTGTTCGTCTTCTCTCTCACCGTATCCCCGCTGTGCTGGGAAGGGGAGGAGTGCTGGAAGGGAGGAAGGGCCACGTAGGCTATTACCGTTGGCCACACAAACTTGCTGCCCTTGCACGCCCTCCTCCTTAACTCCGCTACTCAGGCCTTCAATAATCTGGAGAACCTGGTCTTTGGCAAAGGATTCCAGGCCAAGATCTTCCCTGAGAGTAAGTGCAAAAATAGGGGTTGACTACTTGAACCGTCTGTTCTCTAACCTCTCCCAAATACGATACAGTATTGAATTTCCAGGTGTTTAGGTAGTAAAAATTGCTAGAGAGAGCCTGATGTGGTGGTGCACACCTGTAATCTCTGTGCATTTGGGAGCCTGAGGCAGGAGGATCGCTGTGAGTTGGATGCCAGCCTGAGCTACACAGTTTAAGGACAGCCTGCACTACATAACCAGACCCTGTCTCAAAAAAAGTTAAAGTTGCTAAGAAGTATGTGTACCAAAACAGTGAAGACAGATGATGCTTTTGGATCCAGCATTTTATCTGGCTCCTGGCAGTGGAACTGGAAGAGAAGGCTTCTGGAACAGGAAACCGTTGCTTTCTGGTCAGCTGCCAGGGCAGGTTTCAAGAGAACAAGCAAATTTGAGCTGATATTTGGCACCCACCCTGTGGAGCTGTTCTTTGTGCCCACCCCCAAAAGCAGCAGGGCCAATTTCATTGAAGGGTTCAGTGAGAAGCTGATCTAATATTAGTGAATTCTGTTTATTTGAAGGAATTGTGTAAAGCCTAAATGTTAGACATACTAAAGTTTTTTTAATTAATTTATTTATTTTTTGTCTTTTTTCATTTTTATTGGTACCAGGGATCGAACTCACGACCACCTGCTTGCAAGGCAGGTGCTTATGCCGCTGAGCTAAATCCTCAGCCCTGACATACCAAAGTTTTATGGCAGCAGGAATCCTGACCAAATTATACTTGTTAGATTATTTTCTGTTTGGAATAATCCATGTTTAATTATTTGTGTAATTAAGAACTGATGATTTAATTACTTATGGAGAATTAAGTTTATAAAGCAAATTAGGCATCAAGGCCAGGTCACCTAAGGAATGCCACATGCTCAAAAATTGACAGCAGATGCCTTCTCTGTGAAATTATCACATGGTAAAACAAAGATCTATCATTTTTGCCCTTGTTTCCTTTCCTGATTCTAGGTCTTGCTCTCCACCTTGCCCATCACAAGCTTACAGAGCTCCTTCCATCCAGCAGTTCCCATACTTCTATGGGTATATATCTATATGTACCATCATCGTTTACTTCTTCTTCTTCTTCTTCTTCTTCTTCTTTTTTTTTTTTTTTTTTTTTGAGACAGTGTCCCTGTGTAGTTCAGGCTGGCCTTGAACTCATGATGATTCTCCTAACTCATTTTCCTAAGGGATTACAGGCATGCTGGCATCATTTATTTCTGCAAGAAACTTGTTGGGAGGCAAAGCTCAGGTCCCTTTTGGCTTTTCTGCCTTCCCACCTCTTCCTCCTCATTACCAGATGACCCTTGGTTTTGTTTTGGGTACTGGGGATGAACCCATGACCTGACCTCACACTTGCCAGGCAGCAGCTAAATCTCTGGCCTTTTTTTTTTTTTTTTTTTTTTTTTTTTTGAGATAGAGTCTTACACAGTTCAGGCTGGCTTCCTGCCTCAGCCTTGTGAGTGTTGAAATTATAGGTATGTGCTACCATGCCTGGCTCATTATGAGATGATCCTATTCTGGATGTCCTAATATCCTGTTTTTCTTTTTTCTTTTTTTTTTTTTTTTTACTTTTAAATCAGTACTAGGGATCGAACTCACAACCGCCTGCTTGCAAGGCAGGTGCTTATGCCGCTGAGCTAAATCCCCAGCCCCCCTGTTTTGCTTTTGTAAATGGATATATCCAGACACTGCCTGTGTCCAGGAAGACCCTCAACTTATTATCACTCGTCAGCAACTTAATATGGGCAGTTCTTGTTTGCTGGTTTGTATTGGAAATGTGTTCCTAAATGGGAATAAGTGTTCCTCTTCAGGATCTGTATTACCTTTTTTCCTTTTATGGGAGACAAACTAGTGAGATTTGGGGCAGAGTTGGTGAAAAGCTCTAGATTTCTCCTAGTCTCTGCAGCAATACTGCCTGGTATTGCTATCCAGACCACCACCTGATTGTTCTTGTCATTTTTTGGCTCTCTAGTTCTCCTGTGTCTCCTGTTGGCGCTCTTTGCATCTGGTCTCATCCACCGAGTCTGTGTAACCACTTGGTATGTACCAGACAGTAAGAGTGAGCCTATCACCTTGTCTTTTGGTATTGTATCCTAATATGATGGCACCAACCTTCGCCTCATTTACCCTTCCCCCTTCCCCATTTTCCCAAACCATTTTTCCTAGGATTTTTTCTATGAAGAATGTCCTGACAGTAGGCTAGCAGCACACTCACTGATTACTGTGATTTTTCTGTCTTTAACCTGCAGCTTCATCTTCTCCATGGTTGGTTTGTACTACATCAACAAGATCTCCTCTACTTTGTACCAGGCAACAGCTCCAGTTCTCACACAAACCAAGGTCACTGGCAAAGGCAAGAAAAGGAACTAACTGTCTTTCTAATAAAGTTGATTCTTTGTACTTCTGTGAGTTGATATGTTGTGGATCTCATCTCTAAGTGCCTGCCTGGATATTGTAGAATGTTAAAACAGATGGGCACCTACTCTTTGCAGGCCTTGGGGATAATAAGACTTGCTCTCCTCTAAGGTTCATTTTACCGAATATTTATTGAGTGCTGTCAGTGCTAAGCACTTTGAGAGAAGCTAAAGTGGGATATTTTTGTGTGAGAATCATCATGGAAGAAAAGTATATGAATGCCCTGCAGAATGGCCTTCTTGTCAGACTGGAATAGGTCTTAGAACAGAGGAGTAAGAGAAGGAGGGGCCCCTCAGCCTTGTGCTGTGCCATGGGTTCCACGTGAGGCTTTGTTTGCCTCCCCATCCTGAGTAAAGGCTCCTTGCCCCTTCTGCTGCAAGTCCACAAGATTGCCCCCTTGGACCTACATGTTCCATTCCAGCATAAATGTGTCAGTGTTCCGAGATGCCCCAGGTTGATCATCACTGTCCCAACCTCTTTGTTCTGGTACTTCATTTCTCACTGTCTTACCCAACACAATCGTTTGTTTGCTTGTTTGGTTTTTTGTTTTTCTTAAGACAGGATCTTACTTTGTAGTGTAATCTGGCTTTGAACACACTGTGTAGCCTAGGATGGCCCAGAACTTGAGATAATTCTGCCTCAGTCTCCTGAGTGCTGAGATTACAAGTGTGCACTATCATGCTGGGTTTTGCAGCCAATATATTAAGAACTTCCTACACTTGGGCTGGGATTTAACTCAGTGACTCAAATGCTTGCCTGTAAACATGAGGTTGTGATCCCTGGTACAAAAAACAAAAAAACAACTTCCTGCATTTTAGCAAAGTGTATAAAATGGCAGGAGCAATGGTACCAACCTCTGAGCCAGCCTTGATGGAAGTCAGGTGAGTGGCTACTCAGGTCCTATTCTGACTGCTCTGCCATGAGAAACCGCTCTGTCCAGAGTGCCTGTCTTTTGGGGCATCCAAGCATTGCCTCTCCTGGGTGCAGTGTGTACCTACCTGTCTTGCTCAGTTTTGCATTCTCCACAGTCCCTGGTAATAGGCAGTAGACTGGTGGGTTAGTTGAAAAAACCTGCCATTCCACCCTTCCAGAACAAAATCTGGTATAAGAGAACTACAGAGTTAGGGGAGATGACCCAGTGAAGATAGAGAAGGGAGTCAAAGGAATTCTGGTCGAGGATTAGAGACCACAATAGTCTTGTTTCCCATTCGTGGCCAGACCCCAGAATCTTCTGTTCCTGGCTGAGTGCTAAGCAGTTTACCCAAAGTGTCTTCAGAGGGCGCTGTGAGCCCACGTCTTCTGAGGGTAAACAACAGCTTCCTGTGCAAGGGACTTGTGAGGACTGGTGGGAAGGTTGAGGGTTGCTGCTGAGTCTCCCTGTGGGAGCCAACCTGCTTGGAGGAGCCTAGAGACAGAAGGATCTTTTTCTTCTGCTGGGAGTGGGCGAAGATTTGGGTGGAAAGCAGAGGCTTGCAGGAAAGAGGTCAGTTGACCCAGTGAGTTTGCTTGGGAGTACACAGTTGTCTTCTGTGGGATCCTCTGTAGGGAGTCGGGGATTTGCCCACAGTGGACTGAGTGGGTGGGCCAAGTTGACTTTAGACCTTACTGTCGAATTTTGACTTTTTTTTTGAACCAGGAAATTAAACTTGGGACCTTGCACATGCCAGGCAGGCACTCTGCTGCTGAGTCCTGGCCCCCTTGACTTCTAACCTGGAGTGAGACCAGTGGGCAGAGAGCCTCATCATAGTCCAGGGGAGGAGGGCAGAAAAAGGCCACCTTGAGCGCCCTGTGCCTCCCACAGTGAGTGCTGGCCTGGGCCAGCCAGACAGCCACATCACCTTTATGGCTAGGAGAAGGGAGGACCAAGAGATCAGAAACCAGGACAGTGCCAAGGGGTCTGGGCACCTGGTGCCACCTATTCTAGGACTAGGGACAGCATGAGGCCCAGGAATAATGAGCCCTTCCTCTAGGAAGAGGTGCATTTACAAGGCAGCTTGGCGCCGGGTGCAGCTCTCCACCCAGCCTATCTCTGGTCCCTATTGCAGGCTGTAGCACCTGACCTGCCAATTAACACTGGTGAGGATATCCCAGCCACCTAATCACCATTATTAAGTAAGGGCCTGTAAGGACACTGTGGCTTCCAGATATGGAACCAGAGGGGAGGTCTAACCTATTGGCCCCGGGCTCCCAGGGCTCTGCTTCACCCTAGGTGAGAGAGGCGTTTCTGTCCCAGAGGATGAGGGAAGCCAGATGTTTCCTCTGGCTCCCTCACACGTGGCCATGACACCCTCCTTCACCACCACCCCTCCCAGCTCCGGAAACTGGAGTAAATAATGGAGGGGAGAAGGTGGTGACTGTGGTTAGCGAGGTCTCTAGGCTGGGGGGGGGTATTCCTTGGGGCAGAAGGTGATGCCACTTGTGAAAAGAATAGTGTGAAGGTGAGCCCCAGGGCAAATAGTCTCCTTAACCTGGGTAGAGTTAGCACAGTCAAGAGGGTGCCTGACTTTAGGACAAACTAGCAGGGCAGGGCAGGGACTGAGGCGCCCAGGGCAGGCAGTGACGGGGAGTCCGCGCCAGACCTTGGCTCCAGCCCTTTCCGGCCCTTATTGTCCTTGGTGAGAACAGGACACAGTCCCATTCCCATTGCTCAGCTCTCCTGGTTCTGCTCCCTAGGGGCTCGGGAAGGATGTTGGAAAACAAGAGAGAGCCAGAGACCCTGAGACAGAGATGCTGAGAGACCTAAAGACAGATACAAAGGGAAAATGTTCAATCAAAAGCCTCATTGAGACTCATTGTGCACAGAGCAGGCCCTAGGCTCTGTGGGAACTCCCTGAAAGAATGGGAGGCGGAGGCCCTGCCCTGGAGGACCTCCAGCCTGCCCCCTCCCAGGCACAGACTTTCTTGACTTGGGCAGAATCCTAGTGCAGGCACCATTAGGGGCACTTAATTGCTCTCCTTCAGGTACTTTGTTTCCTCCTCAGGGTGAACTGGAAGTTCTGGAGGGAGAGGGACAGGGACCCAGCCAAGATCTGGCTTCCAGATCCAGTCCTCCCAGGGTCAAGAACCCGCCAGCCATACAGAGTAGCACACTGTAAATGCTGTTTCTTGAATTCTTACAAAGGCAGAGAGAGAAGTCCCCCTACTTGGGCCTGCAGTCAAGCACCTCATTACCTGGGGTGAAGGGTTAAGAGCAAACAGCTATAGACCTGGTTACCACTAGGAGTATAGTACAGACCTTTCTTTGGGCTCTGAGAGGTAGTCATGCCCACCTTGGCAGCAGTGGACCTGGGCAGGAAGCTCCTAGGCGCATGGATCTCACTGACTGTTCCCTGAAAGACAGGCCTTCTGCAAACTGGAGAGAGGTCCAGGTTGCTACTGTCAATGGAGGGTCCATGCACACTCAAAAACCAAGGAAAACTATCATAGTCCAAGAGGCTGAGGCAGGACAACTGTAAAATTCAATCTCAGGCTGGGCAATTTAATCATCTCAAAATAAAAAATGGAATTATCTCAAAATGAAAAATGGAGATAAGTCTGTCATGATAATGCACACCTATAATCTGAGTATCTGGGAGGCTGAGGTAGAAGAGTTGCAAGTTGGAGCCCAGCCTGTGTAACTTAGAGACTTAGTGAGACTGTGTTTTAAAATATAAAAAGGGCGGGGGCTGGGGATTAAGCTCAGCAGCATAAGCGTCTGCCTTGCAAGTGCATGGTCGTGAGTTCAATCCCTGGTACCGATAAACACACACACACACACACACACACAAACACATATATATGAAGGGCTGGGGATGCAGCTTAGCATAAAGGCCCTGGATTTGACCCCCTGTACCACTAAATGAACAAATAATTTTAAAAAGGGCTGTAGATAATGCTCAGTAGCAAGTATGAGGCCCTAGATTCAATATCTAGTACTTCCTGCCCCCAAAAGGAGAAAAGAAGGCATGTCTATATTTGACAAATTAACATGTTTAACACAAAGTCACAATATAAGCTAGATGTGGTAGTGCATGCCTGTAATCTCAGCCCTTGGGAGGCCATGCCCGGAAGATCAGCACAAATTTGACAAACTGGGTTATATAGTGAGACTCTATCTCAAAATACCAAAAACAAAAATAACTATGGTATCCACAAAATCATTACAGGATCTATAAAAGTTTTTCCATCGCAGACAACCATATGTCCTATTTTATCACTTAAAGGCCTGTGACAATGGGTATACCAGATTTACTGTGCTAATTTATATGCATTTTAAAATTTCATAATAAAAGTTAACTTTATGGTAAGTCCCTTCTTTCTGTTCTATCAGAGTAATAGTATGACTGTACTCATAAGTGGAGATAATACCACAAACCTAAATTGGAGGCTCTGTGTGACAATAAAGCCAGGAACCAAATGGTCCTGTTAGCCTACAAGACTGCTCTGAGAATCCCTCTCACTTCAGAGAAACCAGAAAGAGCTGGAAAGGTCCCCCTCTGTCTGCAGCTGATGTATGCTATGGGAGGAATTGAAGCAAAGCATTCATGTCCACACTGACGAGATCCTACAGAAAAGAATACCACAATCAACAGTAGTTTCTGAGTCAACAGTAGTTCTGAGGGCTGACCTCAGGCTGCTCCAGGGATTTCTGAGTCTGAGGCACATGTGTGTCTGTGTTTGAGGAACTGAGGTGCATGAATACTGTTGTTTTAGGGTATGGCAAAATGCCCCAGGGCCCCCATTCCTTTCTGCCCTTAGCTTCTAATCCATTTCCAGCCTCTGACTCAGGCCCATTATGACTCAAGAGTTTAAATTTTCCAGACAGTGTATAGGACATGGGAATGAAGTGCTTCATGGAATCATAGAGCCTCAAGTTCTAGTCTTCACTCTGACACCTGCCAGGTTCAGTGATCTCTCTATACCTTAAAAACTACCTGTCTATAATATGGGAATAATAATACCTAAGTCAAATTGTGATCACAAGAGATTCAAATAAATAAAAGCAT